TGAATTGAGTTCATTTTGCCTTGCTGGTTAACTTTTAAACCAGCACACTATGGAAGACTAAAGGTCTTCAGCCAGTAAGAGCCAGTACTTTCTGGGTACTAAACACTGTAAACTACAGCATGCTTTAGGTGATGAAAAAAATACATGGAAAGTTAAATGTGTTCTTGAAAGCACATCAGAATACCACTTTTACCCTTTTAAAGAATAAAACATCTAAAGAAGCTGAAGTGAGACAGTCATTACAGTTTATATGAAAATAGTCTTTTAAGGATTAACAGTGTATATGATATAAAAAGCTAGTGAAACATTTCCTATTTTATGACTAAGGAATCATCTATATTTTCCATTTTTTTAATATGTATGTGCTCAGATGCACAGGATATTACACTCTGCTGTCTTACAGTACCATTGTAACATCAAACACTGGTCCAGTATTGTTATGGACAGGGAGAAGCGACAAATGAAATACAAACTCCTTTTTAATTTAACAAAGCAACTAGCACAACAGCCTTGAATGTTTCTTACCTAATCCTACAACTGCAGAAAACAGCTGTACTATGAAAAGAGTAAGAATCAAAAAGCTGGACTGAAGACTGCATACCACTAAACTAATATGTAATGTATATGTTCATAGGAAAGATCTGAACATTAGCTTGTTAACATTCAAAAAGAACTCATCCAAGATTTTTTACTTTGACATGTTTATTTTAGTTGGATGAACAGACTCAATGAACAAGCTGAAATAGTATTCTTCAGCCACACAATTGCCTCTCTGTGGACTTTTATAACTAAATGTTTAAAAATATCAGAAATACGTGGATATTTTCATGAAGTAGTTCAATAGTTACTTCTTATTCCATGCTTCCTTTTCAAGTCTTTCACGGATTACTTCTTTTAGGTATGGTTCAAGATAATGGTTATCCTAAAAAAGAACAGAATATATTTAAATTTATAGTGAGGTCCAGAAACATCTTAAGTCATTCCTACAGACTACTTGTCTCTCATTCCTCCTCAGATTTGACTAAACACCAACCTAACAAGGGAAAAAAAAAATCAAGCCTTACTTAGTCTGAAAAGGTAAACTTTTTATCTGCCAAGTCTGCATTGAGAAGTTTTCTACTACAGCAACCACTAATGCCTAATTCCTCACCAACATTAACAAGCAAAGGAATGCTTCCAGCTACAGCTTTAGAAGCAATGTTCTTTTGGCAGATACCCAAATGTACAAGATCCACTTTAATTAGTTTAAAGTCCAACTATAATACTCTGGAGAATCTTTTTTTGAGCTTAACTTCTAAAACTTGGGATTTGGTGGAAACTTGTAAACTTGAATTTGGTGGAACACTTTGACCATGTTTAACACTTACAAACCAAACTGCTGCTTTAGGAAATATGTAACCGTTTATTTGATGCACCAGTTACCCAGATACAGCCAGCAAGACCACAAGAAAAATCCTCTGCTTAATACCCTTAACTATCCTATAGTCAAGAGTTTAGCAATAAGATTCTTCTCAGCCTGCTAATCTGGAGAAATCTGAGGTGGACAGTAATGCAAAGTATGTGAATCAATTTACTTCCAAAAATAAAAATTAGTTAGATCTGAAAAGGAAAGTGTAGTTTGTTTTTCAAATTATAAGATGATGCCTATTTTAGTGCAAGATTTCCCTTTACCTTATTCTTCCTTGGCACCTTCGTGAATAAAACCTTTGGCTCGAGATTTTCTATAAGATTAAGATATTAATCAGAAAAGCAAGAGACCTTTTGTAAGAATTTCAAAGCTATTTACAGAGTATTTCTTTATCTAATAGATTAGAAGAAATATTTTGTCTGAACACAATGTGCATGATTCTGAGCTGCAGCTTGAGCTTCTGTCATTGTGAGAAAAATTTGGTAATTTCTACCAAAAACCAGAGATTTCTAAACAGCCATCAAAAGCTGTGTTTTCCAGAGGTGTTCTGTGAGATACTGACTCATGTACTCATTGTAAAGAACATGTAAGCATGCGTCTCTTCAGCAAATGACAATCCCAAAGATCAGTCACAGCAGTGCCATTTAAGACCTCCACCTTGAAAACGCTCTGTTCACGCACCTCCTCATACTTCACCCACTGGTCTTTTGGAAGGATCTGATGTTTCAAGCTCAAGTCCAATGCTCGCTTTATGCGAAATATTCTTTCATTGTAAAGATGTTCTGGAAGTCTCTTCAGTGCTTCTTTTACATCATCGTCTTCATACAATGTATCATCTCGCATTAATCCTGTACCAAGAAGTATCACTGAATAAATATTCCTAAACAAGATTTAGGATTGACACAGGTGTTTCTAAGTACCATGGGCAAAACACTTCCAATGCAAAATTATGAAGAAAAACCAATCCAGGAGAACTATTAATTGCTCACAGAGAACATGCAATTCTAAACACTAGCTTTCACATACTCTACCTACTTTTTTTTTTTACTCCTTCTCTTTAAGAAAAATAGGGAAAATAAGTATTTAATTCAGTGTGTTTAATAAGAAAGTATACATACAGAACAGTAACTTTTCTGGATCTGAGGGGTGGACTTACATTCATCTATTTTTATATCTATATTTAAGACTACTGTCTAGGCAAAGGGTTTAAGAGCTCTGAATCCATTAGAGTTGGTTGACCATAGATGTGACTCCTTCAGTACTGAAGAATTATGCTCTAAACTCCCCTATCCATAATGACCAGATCTCCAGTGATTATATTAAACCACGGAAATCTGAAGCTCTATGTTTGTGCATGAGTTTCAAATCAGAAGTTAAATCAGGGAGAAGCACCCTGTCTTCTCAAAGCCAAGAACACTCTCACACCATTTGTGGAACAAAGAGTTCTTGAAACTCAACCAACCCTGCTTTAAGGTTCAGTATTAGCAAAATAGGACAAAATATTACTTCTGTAACATTCCAAGACTGATGCAGATTACAAGAGTATACCTACTGACTTGTGGTCAAAGGTTTTGGTCTCACAATAAAACAAATCTCTTTTGAGTCATATATTCTTGGATTCAATTTTATAACCTATTTCAAAGGCACAAGGAGCACTGCTGCTACTTTAATCACTACATTAAATTTGGTGTTTCTCAGTTTTTAGTCACATTTCCAGAAGAGCAGCAGAAGTAAGAATTTCAGCAGGCAGACATAAAAAGAGGTGCTAAACACTTCATCTCTGGAGGAAAGGTCTAAGCTTATTCCTCTACAGTCGTCTTGCAGTTATTTTTTCTAGCTTCCCCAGGACAGGTATGTTAAATTCCTTTAAAAGATTTGCACTTATTGTGGTCAGCAGTAAATTACAAGGACTGAATATTCAGATTCTCATTCAAGAACAGTTCTGCCATCTAAATGGCTGAAACAAATTTGGTAACAACTCTGAACAAACTGAAGACAATACCATCAAGACAATCTCCTCTACTTAAGGAAACACTGTTTTGCACCTATTCCAGCACTGTTCAGGCCAGGGTGACACCAACTGAAGTCATGGTGACACAATGGGCAGAACTAACTAAAACCTCTTTTGCAATTTGGATACTTTGCAGAAGTATTGTGGACAGACTGACTGCTATCAGGGGGAACCTCTCCAGCTTCAAGAGCAGTCTTCGAGTTAGAAGATATTGGCCGGTGAAAGTGACTTGGTGAGGAAAGGTAAATAATCAAGCTTTCAGGACAGCTCTGTGAAAATTTTTTCAACTGCTCCAGCTTGACCTTAGGTGTTATAAGTTAATTCACTGAAAACGTGAGCAAACAGAAATAACAGAAAAGTCACTGATTCATTACTAGATAGAAATCACGATGAGTGAAGCTACTGCCAACCTTTTTCCTCCTCAAAAGTAGTAGCTAATTTTGATCAAAAAGACTTAAGCTAAACTGCATGTACATATGCCAATTATGAACCACAGTTAAATTCAATCCAACACTTACCAAGCTTGTTGAACCCAGCTAGATTATAGTACCACTTGCGAATGCTGTCTATCAGGCGACCACCTCCTGCGACTGAACGTGACCATCATCAGTTGCAGAGAAAGACAAAAATAAACATTACACATTCCTATGACAGTACACAAAAATTTGCTGGTCTCCTTCATATGCAGTAATATAACGCTGCATCAAGTTTGAATCTGAACATATACAACTTGGCCTCTCTACTTCTCAACATCCCTTAACTGACACTGACAAGGTAGAAGGACTCTCATTATGTACTGCAGTTCAACCTGTTTCACGAAATTTCAATATGAGACTGCTTTAAGAGTTTAACAAGGAATTGGTCTATTGTTCCAAAACAGCACCAGCACTTCTACACTCCATAACTATTACATGAGTCAAAACAGTAGTGTTCTGCAGAAGGCAAAAGCGCCATGCTTTTAAAATAATTTATCCAAGTTCCACAACAGTGGGTTAATGTGATTTCAAGGCCAGTATATTAGTATGTTGTTAACCTTTTGCTCTCCTCTCCAGTTACTTGAGTGCTATTCCAGAGCTTCCTTTATCAAGAAACTGCCTAAGTGAACCAGCAAGTCAACACTGAAAAGTATCCCCCAACAGAAAGATTAAAAAAAAGTTTTAAAAAGAAAACATAAAAATACAAACACACCACATATAGCACGTTCATCTTTCATTAAATGTGATTATGGATGGAAAAGGTGCATTAAAACATAATTATGTACGATGCTGTACCAAATACCATTGAAGTAACGCAACAAGGGGTACAGCACTATATGGGCAATACAGCCCGGGCAAGCTGTCTTATGTGACTTTTAAGACGTCTGTCTTACCAAGTCACCCCCAAAAAACAGTGCTACGTGTGATACCAGTGCGTCATTAGCGCACTATCCCATTCGGTTATTTACT